CCGGGACTAACATTGAAGGGGACGTCGGGAAAGCTGCACTCTTCCCTTTGTCAGCCGCACGACTTGATGCGGATACAGGAGGAGCATTGTCAGTTGTAGACAAAGGAGCTGACAAGGACTGTTGCTGAAGCAACAGATCAAAACGTCTCACCAAATCTTGAACGCTTCCTTCCAGAGACGAGATCTTCGAAAGTCCAGCTGTTATCTCATCACGTAAGCCATCCACTTCAGAATGCAGAGAAGTCAAGCGTTCTTCGAAATCCTCCACCTGCGATGCCACTTCCTTAGCTGTCACCATGGCCGAGGAAAGACGCGCTCTGATACCACTGTTATGACCCAGAAATTTGACACGCAGTTCACAGACTTACAACAGCGTTCACACACTCGAACATCAACAAAAGAGACTAGTATTCATTCAGCAGAAAAACATTAACAATTGGTCGGTTCTTCGAGAGACCGCYGGCTCTCCCAAACACTCACAGTATTCTTTACTCAAAGAAAAACATACCCCCCTATCCCCTAAAGCCCCTTCTTATACTCTTCTGATAGCATAACTGGCTCCCTCTATAAATGCCCAGCTGGCCTAGTTGTAAATGCCCAAAAACTCTTCTTTTTTCATAACTGACATAGCTATAAATGCCCCAAGACTCTCCTTATTCCCTCCAGCTATAATTGCCCTCATGTGATTAATTGTTCAATTATTCCCCCCCCCTTAGCTGATTGTTGACCTTTCCTCTTCCTGGCATACGTAAGGTTAATTGGGGCCTATCATTACCCGTTGCCCAAAGTCTAACCTTGTCTCGAAGTAAGTCAAAAGGCTCCCAAGAATCTTCAAAATCAGGCAGGTCCTGCCAATGAATAAGCACTTCCAACCAGTAACTCCAGGCATCGTGGATGGACGCACACTGCGCACGGCAGCAGGATAATGGAGCTTTGCAACTCTTCCAGTCTCTGAATAAAATTCCTTCTTTCTTTGAAAGCTAGACCTTTTCAATCTCTTGACTGCTACCCTTGTTCCATCAGGTAAAAGCCCACTATATGTGCCCCCAGTCTTG